AGCAGCAGCCAGGGGGCACACAGGGCAGGAAGCTTAGATCCACAGAGGGGTCACACCATCACACAGGGGTGGGAAAAGGTGCCCTACCAAGGGATGCTTAGAAGAACCTGAAATCCCACTTACAAGCCACATGCCAGATTTTAAAATTATTTCAAGCTAGATGAGAATAATCCAATGCCAATCATAGGATATCCTGAGCTGGAAGGGGCCCACGAGGACTATCAAGACCAACCAAGCGTGCAAGAGCGTTGTTCAAATACACACCATCTCTAAATAAATGGTTTTGGTAAAGTTTCTATTTGGTAGCTGCTAATGTTATTATTCTTGGTATTCTCCCTAATTGATGTCATATTCCCCAAAGTTTCCTCCTAAATTCTTCTCACAGAGACTCTCAACATTTTGTAGTTAGCTGGATGGAGAAAATACTTGGAGAAAAAGAAGGTGAAGTTTGGTTCTTCCAACCAAAGATCACAGGACTGAAGTCTTACAAAAATTTAAACAAAAAAAATAGAAACCTTTACTTATAACTGTATCCCATAATTCTCTAACCTGTTTACGGTGAATCTGTGGATAAGACCAGAACTTCATTTGCTGTGAGGGAGCATTGAACTTCTCTGCCTTGCACATGCACACACAATCATCTGGCAGACCATGGCCATTCACCCCGTGAATTACCAAAGTCAGGAATGGCATTTGCAGGGCACTTGCAGCCTCTTTTCTTCCCTGCAAACACTCAGCAGCATGAGGAGCTGGTCATCTCCATCCTCTGTCCACTCCTCCTTCTGGCTGCCAATCACTGGGAACAATCTTAGGCTAGAAGCATTTGTCCCAGCCAAGTCATGGAAAATCACCCTTGGAAACTTCATGCTCCTCCTCCTCTCCTCTGCTCCAGTGACTGCTTGTGTGATTCAGATTCCAGAGCCTCTAATTTGCCCTACTTGCACTAACTACACTAGCACCAAAATTAAAGTGAAGGACATTAGGTCAAACTAAAGTCACACTTGTTTCACAGTGGTTTTGTCAGGGAAGAAGGTATTTCACAGAATCATTTTGGTCAGAAAAGATCACTAACATGATCGACTCCAACCAATCCCACGGCATGCAAAACCCACCACCCTGTTTCCAAATGCCATAATCCACACAGCTTTTAAATCTGTCCTGGGATGAGGACTCCAATACTGCCCTAGGCAGCCTGTTCTGGGGCTGGACAGGCTTGTAATGAAAATGATGGAAAGTTTTGGGACTCATTTGTTTTGGCAGGTAGAGAATGATCACTGGTGTCTGTTTTGCTTGTTTATCCTATGCTGAAAATCACAGCTGAGGCACAAGTTTCATGTTGCTCAGCTAAAGAGCATGAAAAATGTTCCTCTACTCCACTGCTCCTCAGCTAAACAAACTCTGCTCAAGGCAGCAACACTTTTCATTAAGGCTGGAAGCTTTGCTGCACAGAGCAAACCCACACACTCCAGCACCTGATATCTGGCTAACATCAGGGAGGATTAAAGCTTCCATCTTTGGCCCCTAAAGATCCCAGCAGAGCTGACATCATCTTGGAATTATCACCCAGGACAAATCCTACCCCAATTTAGCAAGCCTCCTCAATGGACAATAGGGTAGGCAAACCACTTTCTGTTGTCACACTATGCATTATTGACAAAGTTATCACTATAAAAACACTGAGCCAAGCCAGCCAGGGCCCTCCACTCACTCCAGCATGAGAACATTTCCTGTTAGCTCAGGGGAAAAGCTGTTAAAGGCACACTTGGAGGCAAAGGTAACGAGTACTGCCACAGGTTGTGGACCTGCACTTGCCCTGTATCAGTGTTCAAAGTCCAAGGAAAGTGATCTGTGAAAGGAGGGGTCCATCTGGCAGATGAGGAATAGGAAATCCAAAGGTGAGATGTTAGAAGGAAATCAGGTAGATGGTAAAAATGTGCAGCAGGAACAAGGTTGAATGTGCTTAAACTCACCATGGAATTAAATGAGAAGATGCTGTAGTTTCAAGAGGTTTTAGCTGTCCAAGTCAATACTCTGAACAGACATAGAGTCACAGAATCATTAAGGTGGGAAAAGCTCTCCATGATCATCAAGTCCAACTGTTCCCCAGTTCTGCCAAGGCCACCACTAACCCAAGTCCTCAAGTGCCACATCTGTTAAACCCCTCCAGGAATGGGGCCTCCATCATTGCCCTGGGCAGCCTGTGCTGGTGCTGGATAATGTTTGGGGAAAAAAGTTACCCTGATATCAAATTTAAATCACCTGTGGCACATCTTGAGCCTGTTTTCTCTTGTCCTATCACTTATTCCCTGAGAGAAGAGACCAACACAGGACAAAGGGAGATGTGACAGACACCAATAGGTGGAGAAGCCATACAGAATCCAAAGGGCACTTGCCTTTCAAGGCCATCTGAAAAATATGTGAAGTTATCAATCTCTTTCCAAAACAAGTAATGTTTTTTTTGTGGTTACAAATGTAACAGAGAAACAGAAAATAGGGAATGTTTTTGGAGAATTCCAGGTAACTTTCAGCCTGCCCAGAGGATTTTAAAGAAGGTGTTTCCAGACTGCAGAAAACCACCATACAATTGCTTTTATCCTTCTCTTGCACAGGAACTGATGGTGTCCTGCCTGAGCACACAACACAACTGGTGCTGGAAAAAACAGACTCCTGAAAGAAAAACCAGAAAAGCAAGGGCTGAAAAAAGAGACAGATGGTTTTCTGCAGCAGAGCTCCACCAAGGAAGGACAAGGAATTCAGAGATACCAGCAATGCCACAACATTTCAGAGCAGAGCAGACAGAGCACATTAAACACTTCCACCTGAAAAAGGTCAAAATGCAGACAGCAAGCAGACATACCTTCTCTGGCATTTGAAAGGTGACAGCATAGGGCACAGAAGAACCCAAGATTTACCTAGATTAAGTCCACTCTTCCAGCAGCACCTCCATCTTATTCTTTCCACTCCTTATTCTTCACTTTCAGGCAATTATATTTCAGCAATGCTGTTCAACATTGTAAGATAGCTTAAAGTAAAGTTTCTCTCCTGTATCTTCCCACTTCAGCTCCTGGACAATACACACGATGCCCTGGGTTTTTACTCTCTGCTGATAGACAGACTGGGTAGGAGGAAAAAAACTAACTCACAAAACCTCCTAATGATGCCTGGAGAGTCCCTGCAGCTCTTCACATTTCACTGCTTCCCACCAGAGACTCATGAGCTGTGGACACACTCCTGCCAAGACTCATGCAGCCGACTTCTGTTCAAGGTGCACATCAGCATTTTGGGCTGATTCTATGTTGAATATTAGCTGGAATCACAGAAGGTGCTGGATGAGTAGCAGTGCTTCCCTGATGAAGGAACACTGTATTTCCAGTACCCATAAATGTCTACAAATGTCTACAATGTCTACAAATGTCTACATGTTTAGCTAGAACTAGCTAATAAGCAGAAGCAAAAGCAAGCAAAAGCGAGAGCAGAGAGAGAGCAAGCAAAGCAGAAAGCCAAAAGCAAAAAGCTTAATCCCAGCCCTAATGTAGGCTGGAGCTATTTTTCTAGCTGCATGCCATCTTTTGGGGAGAAGCACGAAAAAGAAGTGCAGTACCAGCTCTTCTGAGACAGGATTTGGAGCCATCAAGGCAGTCAGTCCTTCAGGCAAATCTTCTTGCCCAACCATTCACATTGGAAGCAATATTGATTTGATGAACAATAAGCCAAGGAGTTTTGGGGCTGGGAAGGCTACTGGGGTTTAAACCAGGCTCATAAAGAAAACAAACACAAAGGATCCATTGAAGAAGACACACAAGTTGAGAGATACAAATCAATTTTATTTTATAAAGACAGATGAGCTTTCCTGCAATTGCCAACATAGTTTAAATGTGTCATTTATTATGCAATATTCTGGTCTTGCTTATTTTAAATACCTGGTCGAGCAAGGATAAACCAATGCTGTTGTGCTTGCTATAAAAATATAGTGGGATCTGATATTCCAAAACTAATATGCTCAAAAATCTTAAGGATTTCTAATGAGGGATTAAATTGAGATTGCAATGAAATGCTTTCTTAATTTGAAGACAGTTGCAGACTTTTAAGTGCCACAGCTGTGCGGGAACTGAAAGGCTCTTGAAAACTGAACATACACTGTGATCCATTATGTCACCCTCAAACCTCCTGTTTGTTTCTCTTCCACTACACTATTTCCAAAGTAATTTACAGGGGGTGAAAAAAATAAACACCAAAAGGAGAGAGCTATGACACAGCTGCAGTCTGTACAACCCCCTTCCTGACAGCCACAAGGAGCTGGTCAATGCTCCATCAGCCCTGTGATGCTGCCCCACCTCACACCACCTGCTACATGGAAAGTGGCAGAAGTGCAACAGAAACACAGGGATAATTTAAGGCTAACTAAAGATAATCCATAGAAAGCCCATCTGAGCAGCTTTGTGCAACAGATGCAAAAATCAACCGTAGTGTTTAGCACATTACCAATTACAAGGGTTAAACAGGAACAGCCACACAACATTGGGGAGGAGAACTAGACTTCATTTGGTTTGTGCAACCTGAGAAATAAACAACTAATGGAAAAAAAAGTCCCACTGATGCTGTACATACCTAATTTCACATGTTGCTAAACTGCCATGTTCACCTACAAAATGCAGTGACTTCACAACTACTCTTTGGGTTGCTCTGAAAAGTCACCATCCCACACAAGCTGATGCTTTTCTGTTATGCAGGAACACGAGTGTGTGCACAAACAGGCCTGTGCTGCCTTGAGTATGCCAGATCCCATCCCACAGGGTGCAAAACTGACCTGAGGTTACTGAATTTCACCTGAAATTGTACTGGTATCAGAAGATGGCACAGGGCCCAGGACAGGATATCTTATGCTCATCACTATGAAGTGCTGTTCTTTCAGGTGTTTATTTCTCCCTCTCTAGGCCTAGGGACAGCAAGAGCTTCCTACCCATTCCTTTCCAAAGATGATGGCAGTGCTTTGAGCTTCTGCAGCAATTCCTTCAGGGAAGTCTTCATGAGGTTTGAACAGAGGAGCTAATCTGGGGGAGAAGATACTCATAGATGTGTCCAGCTTTGTACTGAACATGAAATCATGTTCAGTGTCTCAAAATCAAGGTTTCCAAGTGCTCCCATCTAGCACATCATCCTGGGACAGACCAAAGCCAGCAAATTGCTGCAGAGAGGCTCTATCCAACCACTCAACTGTGGACACAACCATTAAAAGCTAACTGAAGAAATGTGAATATAGTTTTAATGCAATCATTAAGGCTTTACCTGGAAAAATGCATATTCTAGAACAGTGCTATTATGTATACCGGTTCTCACAAACACACCTTGTTTTGACAACAGAAAGCTGAGGTTATACATATCCATATTTTTTAAAAGTTAATTTCCGCTAGCCTTACAGTGAAGTTAGGAAAAGACTAGGTTGTGGGTTCAAAAGAAAACATAAACCAGGGAGAGAAAAAAAAGCCAGACAAGATAAAGTATTTTTATTCTGCTATATACTTTTATATTTCAGAGCTCACAACTGAGCTCAGATTCTTGGGTATACAATATAGAAAGCAAGAGCAATGAAATCCAAACTGAAATACATACCAGGAATCACAAAGCAGGCTGCAAATTGCTTTCTCATTAGTGCAGCTGAACACATGTGGCAGTGGTAACCGACCCAACAGCAATCTGCACCTCCAGCAAACCACTGGAAGTTTCTTCCCTCAAAGTATAGATGGTTAAAAAATAAAAATTCAGATGAATAATGTTAAGTGCCTCCTTTTCACAGAGGATGGAGCAATTTCACACATTGACCTAATTCCAAAGTGCTTCATTCCCAGTCTGGGTTTTTTGGAAGATGTCTGAAGTGTCTCAGGGCACACTGTCCCCACTGCACACCTTGGAGGGTGGCAGCTGAACACCATGTTGGTACTGGGTTCACTAAGTCTCACTAATGAGATCTGTGCCCAGCCTAAGTGGGGAATGGTCAGGCTGAGATTATTACACAGAACCTTGGAGGTGGTTTATTCCTCAAGGTTTCCACTGGTAGGAAGAGCAAGTTTGGAGGAAAAGAGAAGTGGAAAAACCCCCAAATGTAATTTCTGATTAACCAGGTGCAAGGAAACTGCAAAAAAATCACACAGGTGCTCATTCTCTGGCAAGTTCACACTGTCAAGTGAAGACTCCTCAGTGCAAACTAGAACTTCAAAGGCTACAGAGCACAGCCAAAATAAAGTTGTCCAGTTGTACCAAATTCATGGTATTTCTCTAATACTGACTACACTGCTCAAGCAAACACAGGAGTACATGGGAGAATGTAAAGACATCTTACCATAAAAATATATTAAATTAAAGGGTTTTTCTTCTGAAAAGATTAAAATAAATTTAACTCTAAATAATAATTAAGAACATAACAAACATTCATAGAAGGGGCTGATCATCACTAGAAGTTGTTTTCAGAAAAGCCTTTATAAATGGATTCCAATGCCCTAGAAAAAAAACCCCACAAAACCTTCAACAGATTATAAATACCAGACAGAAAAGGACTTAAAGCAGAATGAAGTTACCTGGGCTGTGAATACACCATGATCCTGTGTTATTGTGCTCAAGTCCATTTGTCTAACACCATAGGAACAACTTTAAGCTTTTTTATTTTCATAATTAATATAAAGAGTAAGTGCAATTTTATTTCTATTCCAGATCACTGATTTCACCTCAATGTCTGCTATCAAATCTCCGTGCGAGCTCACTTGTCCGAACTCTTGCGAGGTCTGCGGAAGCTGGACATGTTCTCGTTCAGTGCACAGATCCTTCGGGAGAACTCCTCAAACTCCCCTAGCACTTGTTCATCACACTCAACCGCTACAGCGTGTTCCACTGGGATGGAGGTAAAGTCTTCCAGCTGATCTCCTGTGCTGAACCCTGTTGCCTCCATACCCATGATCTCCTCTGCCTGCTCCACGGTGCAGCAGAGCACGGGGTTGAGCGGGGGCTGAAACTCACAGGGCTGCTTGTTGTTCATGGTGCCAGAGCACTCCCCAGGCAGAAACGCCCCATTTATTGCACTAGAACGTCCTAGGAAAGGTTCCTGCCTGTCCTGGGTATTGTTTAGGCTTCCATTTTCTCCATTTAAACTACTGCACAAGTCCTGGCCTTTTTTGGTATTTCTTTTGGAGGAGTCCATACAGGTGTCCAAGGAAGAACATATGGGTCCAGGATTTTTATCCAGCTCTCCCACACAGGCTGTGACAGCAACAGGCTGTGTTAAAGCAGAGTTGTAACTAGGAGGAGGAGTTTTGTACTGTAGTCTCTCGCTTCCTGTGTTGGCTCGTTTTCGGAGTCCTTTATCTGGAGAAGGAAGCCCACTGGAAAAACCGATATCCAATCTGCCAAAGCTAGAGGTCTGTCTCTTTGGAACAGGAATTGCACTGGAAGTATGGTGTCGATCGCTGTAAAAGAAGGGAAGAACAGATCACACCCATCAGGCACACTCATGAGCAATACAGATGTTTAACCAAAGGCTGAAGCAATTGTTTTATCACAACTCCAGGCTCCGTTTGGCCAACAACTTCTATCCCAAAGTGCTAAAACCCCAAACATGTGATATGAACCACAGAAGACAGCCCAGGGAACAGCTGTAGTGAAAAATACGTTTTGTAGGAACACTTACACAGCTCTATGGTTTGGCAAGCCAATCACCCAAGAAACCATCACATTATGCTAATTCACACTGTTAACACCATTTTATAGGACTGAGCTGCACTTATGGAATATTACTGCTGACCATATATTTACGTATTTATGGCTTGTATTGGGTCATCATAAACTCTTCAAAAGTGAGTAATAACATCTGAATTCTCTATGGACAAAGAATCCAACAGCAGACTTCCCTGACAGCTGCACAAAGGAGAAAAACCACAACAACTTCACTATTTGCAGAGGGTTATTCTTGCCAGATCTTCTGCTTTTCTGTGCCAGTCATTCCAAAACTCTGTGGACAATTGCCAACCTCTATTTCTTACAGAACATGAATCAATCAAGCCTAATTTACAAGTTTAACTTACTGCAGTACAGTTCTACAAGCTACTTTCACCGTCTCAAGCTCTATAACTTGGAAAATCCACTTTACATCATCTCAGGTGTGTTATGAGAACTTTCCTTCATCAGCTCAATATTTATGCGACTATAATCACCACCCTATATATAAACAGCATACTATACACTAACATCAGCAGCTGGTTCATTTCCTTCCCAAATTAAAAAAAAAATTGTAAAAAATCAGCTATTATTGATCTACTGAATATGCAACTCTTAAGATTCAACCACTCTTAAGATTTAGTATCAAATTCTTTCATGAACTCCATTTAAAGAAACTCCTGCTCAAGTCCTGATCCATTTTGTCTGGCACGGGAAAATCTTGTGTCATGGTTTAACAGATTGTTTGGGACTGCAAGGGTGGTTCCCTGTGGGGATCTGGCACACTCAATCAGGTGACTAATTTTGAAGACTGACCCCCAGTTAAACCACTTAAGAGCTACTTTAGGCCTCTGTGAAAACATATTTAAGGACAGGTAAGCCCGTGAAAAGCTCTATTGCTTCTGGCCTTGGAACAGGTAACTGGGAGCTGGCCAGGCCTGGCTCTGCTGTGATGCAGGCCCCTTCCCAGGAAGCCTGCCAGACCCTGTCCCATTGGGGTGGCTGAGGCTCCTTCCCGGCAAGACCAAGCCACTTCCTGGAAACGCCACTGGTCCTTTTTACTGCCATGGGGCCCATCCCAATGCTGGGAGCAACCATGTGGCTGGGACCAGTGCTGGGAATGGCCCTATGGCCAGTGCTGGAGGGGGCGCCGGGGCCGGGAGCAGCCACATGGCAGGGACTGCCCGGCCAAAATGGGCGTGGCTGGGGCAGCGCCATGCAGCAGTGGCTATCAATGAACTTTGTGTGCTTGGCTGCTTTTAGCCAGCCATGCTGCTCACAGAAGGACAAAAGCAGCAGCAGCTTTTCTTTTTTTTTTTTTGATGCCTGTGATATATGTTATATAATAATTTGTGCTAAAGGAAATTAAAACCACAGCATCTTGTGTACCAAGACAGTTTTGGGCAACAAGAAGTAATAGGCTACGTGATAAAGAATGGAGATTCAAACACCAGGAGGACACTGTCTCCTAGGATGTATTTTTCAAGGGATTTCTTTCCATCTGACAAGACCCCAGCAGGAGGCATTTGATAGCCATCATTAGAAGTTTATCCCTGAAAGTTTTCACCTGGCAGGATTTCAGGAATTATCCACCGGTTCTCAGAAACATGGTAGCAAGAAAGAAAAAACTACGATAATATGCTAAAATATGCTGAAGAAGAGCCCCCTTCCAGAGCCCAAAAGACTGTATAAAACAGATCCCTTCGAAATGACATTTTGGAGACCCATAGGGACTTTGGTGCAATAGAGGCCAAATCCAAAGTCTCTCCAACTCTAATTGCCTGTCTCAGAGTTGATTCGCTTGTGGCTTTTTCCAAATTTATACTTTGATAATTTAATAAATTTCCTTAATTATTAAACTGGAGTATTCATTTATAACAGTGCCCCACATGAACAGAAGACACAGGGTGGTGCCAGCAGCCAGCACGACTCGCACAGTGTCGGTGAAGACCCCGCAACCAACGGAGAGGCACAGTGAGTGATTCCCCCAATGCAGAGCCTGGATGAGATCAACCTTCCAGCACTGCAGAACTCTATACAAAACTGCTTCAGTTGATAAAGCTTGAGAACAAATGAATCTGTGAACACCAATTCTCTCCCAAATCAGGAAAAAGGATGAAGGCACGTAGAGAAAACAACATGGGACACTAAGGTCAGTGAAGAAGTCTCCTAGATGGGAGGAGACTGAGGAGATCCCTTAGTCTTGGGCTGAAATTCCCTTGTAAGGCTATGGTTAAGATATAATTGATACATCAGACTCAAATTTTTTCCCTGTAACTCACAGAATGCATTGGGGGGATGTAGCATTCTATCCACAGCCATGAGCAGAAGCAATGTTGAAGTAAATTGAACAGAAAGGAATGATGAGAAACCTTGCCCCAGGAACAGAAGAAGAAAACCTCTGTTTCCTAGAGATGGCTGAAGAGAAGTTTTGCTTTTATGCTATAACAGCTCATCCTTAGTACCCCATAAGTTGACATGGCCCACGAAAGCAGCTGTGGGAAAACTGCAAGGCATGGGAGAGATTTTCACACTGCAAAGAGATTTTCCTTTCCTGGGTGGCTGATTCACTGTGACCTTAAAGCCAAAGACAACTGTTTCTTGTGGAGAAGTCTCCATGGCATGGCAAGAGAGACTCCTATCCCTAAGAGAACTGAAGAAGAGATGGCACACTGACTGAAAGTCTCAGGTTTTGTCTCTTTACATTGTCAGAGGGAAAGAAAAGAGGGTGTGTGGGGGGGATAGGAGAAGTGTTATGAAGGTTTATTCTGGTTTCTTTTTTCTTTTTAGATTCCTTGGTTAACATTCACTGAAATGGACCTTAAGGCTTCAAAACCAGGTTTTAAACTGCTGGAGAAATATGGGAGCAGAGTTCAGAACTCTGCCCATTGCTACCAATAAATATGAATAGGATGCGTTGAGCTTCAGTCAGGAATAAATACAGGGATAACATCCCAAATCTGAGAATGGAGGAATGAAGTCAATAGTATGGTTTATCTGCTTATCAAATGTTATCTAAGGCATCTAGATAGAAGTAAATATGTATAAAGGGTTTTGGAGATCAGCCATTGAAGAGTTCCACAGTCACTGGAGAGGAAAAATGAGACAAGAGTGTTAATCCCGTATTTGAGAGCCAGTTATGATCACTGGGAAAGTCATCTTCCCTGGATGCCTTTTCTTGATCACAGGGGCAACCTAGGCAACAAGCTCAGGCTAAGTGAGAAGTGTCTACAAGGCAAACATGAGAAGATAAACAGCTCTCTTTTAAGTAGAATAATGGTCATAGTCTGCAGGCAAGTAAAATAAATCCATAATGACTTATGTGGATTAAATGTTTTTTCCTGTGCTATCACCTCCCTCCAGGTGAGCATGGGAAGTCATGTAGAGGTTTTAGTTCAGAAGTAATGTTTACAGTGGCACAGAGCTCAAAGATACAAGGCTGCTATTAATACCTATGAAAACAAGCAGCTGATGGAGGGTGTCTATTCCATTTGTGTTTTCCTTGAGGCTGTACTGTTACTAAAATTCACAGCATTGATATCAAGGTAAAGTCCAGAGAAAGAATCCCAGAAGGATCTGGTTTGAAACCAACTTTCAAGACCATCTAGTTCTAATCCCCCTGCCATGGGCAGGGACACCTTCCACTAGAACAAGTTGCTCCAAGCCCCATCCAACCCAGCATTGAACACAGGCTCCCCACCTTCACCTTCAGGGAAGAACTGCTTCCTAATTTCTAAACTAAACCCACCCTCCATCAGTTTAAAGACATTGTCCCTTGTCCTTTGAGCTTCACAGCTCATGAAATTAATAAAAATATATAAAGTATATAAAAGAAGAGAGTAATTTTAGAAAACTCTCATCCAGTTACTCACACACTTTAGAGACTGTGAGGTATTGTCCCCAGTGAGAAGGGTTTGGCTTGCAGGAGCACAGCCCTTTACTCTAAGGCACAGCCTTGACCTGAATTGCTCAGGTTGGGCTGATTCAGCTTCCAGCAATAATCCCTTGGTTGGTCTCCTGAGACACCAAACAGGTGTGGACATCTGTCCAAGAAGAATGGCCTGTGACTTGTGGAGTATAAAAACTGATTTCATTAACTGTCATTAGGGCCTGTTGACTTTTAGTCGAGTGGATGACACTAGAACTGGTTACACATATGGGAATGTACAGTTCCTGACAGACAGCAGGATTTCTAAATTATTAAAAAAAAAAAAGCAATGAGAAGCCTCAGGTCACCAATTTCAATGTTTCAATTGTATCCAAATCTCAAAAGCCAATTCTAACAGTCTGACTTCAGCTCTAAGTTTTTCTGGCAGCAAAATGACAAAGTAGCTATTTTCTCCCAAAATACTAATTTCCACTAGTTCCAAGTAGTCACTTTGAGCATTCTTAGCCTTAAGGTGGAAGACACAGACTCCCCACTGTAAACAGGTGAGATAAAGTGACTGAAGTAAGACACAACCATTTCTGAAATTATTTTCTTAGTGAACACATTCTGGTTGTAGTTTTGATAAAACATTTCTTCGGTCAGATTCACCTGTGATTATTCAATCTGTCTGCAAGTGGCTCAGAGAAACTGTAAAGCAATATGAGGGACAAAACACAATTTACAGGCTCAAATATGTATCTTTTCCTCCACACAAAATGTTTCCTGTGAGGAACATTACTGGATCACAGCTGGACAAAATACTAAGTTTTGATTGCCTGGCCAAAAGCCAAAACCCACAGCTACAGCTCTTTGCTATGAGAATGCTTAAAAAAACCCACAAAAACCTAAACACCATTTGATCTTTTAGTGTTGCAAACTATGACCTCATGGCAGTAAGAACACTAAATGAAGGTGTTTTAATTGGTTTATAGCTATCTGAAATGCTTGAAGCTCCATGAGCAGTTCAGAGCCAATATCATGTCAACTGTGCTAAAAAGCAGTGATAGTTTCTCACCTTCTTAGAGATTACCGGTAAAATAATGTACAATAGCAATAGGAAGGCTGCCAATATGAAGTTAAGATGAAAGTGCATCTTTTGGCAGCTAAGAAATTTGGCAACATATTTTTAAAAATGAAATCTTCATAAATCAAGCCATCAGAGTTTTCATAACTAAGAAGTTCTGGGCTCCTCTTGATTGTAGCAGTATATTAATCAAGACATAGCCTCAAAACACAAATTTAAGCCTTGGCATTCAAGTATTTTTGAGGAAAGCCTTTAAATGCAGCTCAAAAGGGCATCTCCCTGCCTACAGACAAGCCATTCAAAAGGGGTAGAGTGTATTTAGATAAGTCTACTGTCTATTCACTAAGAAAAAAAATCTTCTTGCTGGTCTGCAGCATGTTCTTTACTTTCTGTTAATCACAAATACTATCCCTCATAAGTTACAGAGTGAAAAAAAAAAAAAGAAAAAGGCTGAAGAATAGGAGAGAAAATGAGTCAGAGTCTTTTGATTTAATGCAACTATAATCTAAAGAGCCTGAATTTGGGAAAGGTAAATCTGAACCTGCAAGAAGAAATAAAACTATTTTAGTTAAAAATATTAAAAATGGACAGGCTACACAAAAGTGGGAATTTGAAGGGGACTTATGAAAAACAGGGAGAGCAACTTTTTAAAGAGGCAGAGAGAGACAGGACAAGGGGGAATGGTTTTAAACTAAAAGAGGGGAGATTTAGATTAGAAAGAAATTCTTGGCTATGAGGATAGTGATGGCACAGGTTGCCCACAGAAGTCTGGCTGCCCCATCCCTGGAAGTGTTCAAGGCCAGGCTGGACAGGGCTTGGAGCAGTCTGGTCTAGTGCAAGGTGTCCTGCCCATGGTTGGAGAGTGGAACAACATGCCTTTAAAGTCCCTTCCAATCCAAACCTTTCTATGATTCTGTCTCAAATGCTGGAATAAACTGCCTGCTCACAAGAAAAAGGATTTAAGACAAAATCTGCATAAGGCCTTTTGCATCCACAAAAGCTAACCTAAAAAACTGAGCTACTTTTCTGGAAGCCAGTAAAACTCCAAGACTAAAAAGCTGGAAACAGAGAGAAGTATTCCCCAAAGGAAACAGAAGAGATTTGGGGGACAAAAGTAAACACAGCAGAATATTGGTACCAGGAGAGGTATGAAGATGGAAGCAAAGCTTGCAGATCTGCAAGCTTGCTGCAATAAATCACATAAATTGGGATGTGAAAACATTTATTAATCATTTAAATGTAATGCCTGAGAAACCAAGACAACACAAATCTCACCAGGCTCAGGAAACCAGCCACTAAACCTTGATGGACAAACACTGGACTCCGCAGACCTTCCAAAGGGCCAAAGGCTAGCCCAGAGCTCAAGGCAAAACAGGGGAACTCACAGAAGATTGAGGCAGACACTTTACAGCCAAATTTGCTCTAATGGATGCATCAAATATGTGAGCTCTTCTACAAAAGCCATGGAGCATTTTTTGGGTTTGCTTTTAATCTAAAATGATGATGATTATGGTGGTGACAGAACTTAAATTCAGAAAATCCCAATTACAGTGCTCAGAAAGGAAACTGAAGATCAGCAAGAGAACCAAACAAATCAGGCAGTGCAAGTGAGTATGTGGATAAGAAAACCTCTTGTCTCTCTGCTCTTATCCTGCAAACAAAGAATAACCTGGAAATATTTTACTGACTACACCTTGTCAGAGAGTATCAGATGACTCACAGTAACCTGAAAACAAAAAATTCTTTTAAATATTAATTTTAACAGCTAGTGGCTTGTCTGCTTGTTTCTATGTTCATAATCAGGTATTATCCACAGGACAGCGGACGTCTGTATTCTGCCCAATTATGAAAGTCTAGCCTGTTTTCCCCTCAAGACAGACTCCCTGTAAAGCCTCATTTCCATTTATTTTATTAGGAAGCATTAAGAAGCATTGATTGGAATCATCAGTTTAAAAAAGAAATAAGTTAAAAATTAACAACTTCTGGACATGAGAAGAAAAAGAGGCATAGACATCCATGGGGAGAAGGGAATGGAATACTCGAGAAGAATTATGCTTAATATTCCTACATGGAAATATTATCCAGCCAAAAAAAAAAAAAAAGTGCTTTCTTTTATTAATGATTGTGCATCACCTATAAAAAACAACAGGCTTGTATGGTGGTAAAAGCTCCGAAGCATAATTAAAGTTTCCAAATCAGTTCCTCAGAGACAGCACATGCCAGAAGGGAAGAACAGGTATCCACACTGAAAATAATTCCCATTTCATGTGTTCCAGTGTCAACCCACTTCTGCTTATTCAAGACTGTAGTAGACACCCATGACCTGCACCCCCCTCCCACTCTACTGATGAGCAGAGAGAAGTGCTACAGATATCACAGTCTGGCCCTTCATTTTCAAATTTTCTAAGAGTACCACACATCATCTGAGGATTTTTATACTACTGTGAGGGATACCACATGAAAACTCACAGTGATATTTTCCTAATGAAGAAGGCTTTACTTGCTAGAGAAAAAAACAAAAGCAGGGAGAATCTTTTCAGCTGTGTCTGAAATTACTTACAGAATGAAACTGCACAAGGGGCTGAGCTTCCTTTTCTCAGGATCTATTTACTTCCTCTGTTGGCTGAGCTGAATTTCCATCAGGCAACACTTTTTACAGTATTGCTGAAAGAGGAAATTTTTCCTACTCCTATATTTGCTTTCCCTTGCCAAGACTCCAAACAGCAACCTGGAGGTGAGGGTGTTCAGCCTGGGAGAAGAGAAGGCTCCAGATACCTTAAAGCTCCTGCCAGTGGCTGAAGAGGCTCCATGGGAGCTGGAGAGGGACTTTGGACAAGAGCCTAGAATGACAGGACAAGAGGGAATGGCCTTCCACTGCCAGAGGGAAGGGTTAGATGGAATATTGGGAAAAAAATTTTCTCTGTGAGGGTGGTGAGGCCCTGGCACAGGTTGCCCAGAGAAGCTGTGGCTGCCCCATCCCTGGATATGTTCAAGGCCAGGTTGGATGGGGTTGGAGCAACTTGATCTGCTGGGAGGTGTCCTGCCCATGGCAAGGTGTGCGAACTGGATGATCTTTAAGGTCCTTCCAGCCCAAACCATTCTATGATTCCTGTGACCTGTTACAGTAGGATTCACACAAGTACTTTTCAACATCAAAATCAATTTTAAAAAAAGGAGACTGTAGGGAGAAGAAACTGCTTTGCTCATGAGAGTTAGGAAGGCAGGAAAACAAAACCATTCTATGATTCTATGATTAGATGAGAATGCAGGACAGAACAATTGCTTAAAGCAAGAGACTGCATGAGTGCACACAATTCAAAGAGCATAAATTAAAACCATGTGAATACAAACCATCACTTGTTGAAATCCACTGGGTAGTAAACTGTTCTTCACATTTAGTGAAGTTCACCTCAGTTTAAGGAGAACTGGTTAAGCCTCCTGCTTAAACAACTGCTGCAAGATAAACCTAAACCAACTTTAGCCTTAAAACACAGAAACCTGTCTGATTTGATTTCCTGCAGTCAGTAGAAGATGAGTCTTAATCCTCCAGAGTGAATCAGAACAGAAGTACACGGATTTCTGTGGGAGATACTATTACCTTCAGTTATTTATTCAGTTATTTGTTACCTTCAGTTTATTAATGTAGCTTCTCATTTAGCAACAACAGTGAACATGCAACAGCTATTTTCATTAGCAGCAATTATACTACAGAGAAGTTGTGTTGTTTATCTTTTAGATTCCTGTGCAGCTCACTTGAATTACACAGTCAGGGACTGCCCAGGCTACGACTTGTTCTGCTTGATCAGTTTGGTACAGAAGGTGCACCTGCTACCAAACATTAAACACAGTCTTATGACAACAATTAATTCACCTCCCTCTAGTGAAGAACATTATTTTTTCAAACAGGATTCCCTTGCTACATCAGCCTCTGAGAAGGGTTGTGGGCCCATCATATGGAAGAACTTCTAAGAGCATAAGAAAACAGTAGAAAGTTGTGGACAGTTAGAGAGTCTGTATTTTGGGAAGGTCATAATCTCACCAAGCATTCTCAGCTTGTGAAGAGGAGCTGCTTGTCTGAGACAAATCCTTACCTTCATGTTTTTTTTGTAGTACCCACCTCTTTCTTATAAATTACAAAAAATACTTACCATCTAACCATCAGTCCAAGCTCCATGAAGTTTTTCAGGTTAGGAAGAGTTTGCCTTAGATCTGGAGTACTCAGCCCGTGCTGGTATCTAAGCTACAAAACCAGAAAAAAAATTCCTAAAATTAGCACAGTTTTCCAAATGCCAAAGAATACATCATTGTGGTCAGTTAAGTCACTAGGTTTTTAGAAAGTTTAGGATGATTATCCAGCAGTTCCAAGGTATTTATTCCCCTTAAGAAAATGGTCTATTTACTACATGTATTAGGAAACCCACCCAAGAACAGAGACAAAATAATCAGTCAACCTGACTCTTAAACCTCCTTACACTTTCTCCATTTCCTATCTGCAACAGGAGAGCAGGTTTACAGCTTAATAAAAATACAGCCATTACGGGAAGACACCAAATTTCATCACAATGTTCTGTATTCATGAATTCCAAATATTAATTTGTGTGTACCTGTCAGTCTGAGTGTAATTTGTGTGTACCTGTCAGTCTGAGTGTATCAGTGTATACTGGAATCAGTAATGGAATTATTACAGTAAAATCAATGAGTAAAAATACATATTTTCACACAGCTGATCAATATCTGTGATCCTTACACAGTTTACATAGCATTTAAACACCTGTTATCAGTATCATAATTAAATCCAGCACCCAAATCACTTCACTAAGATGCTACTTAGCAAAGGGAAAGGCTTTAAACACTGACATACTTTAACCTGAATATTGACTCCTACAAGTTGTTCTTAGGTCATCCACATGACATAACTGTCACTGGTGAGAATTATAAACTCTGTGGTTAACAAATTAAAATACCTCTGAAGAAAACAGCACATGGAAGGGAAAACACTTTGTCTTTCAAGTTTGAATCTCAAAATTTCAGGGAAATTTTGCAGAGAAATGTATCCCTTGTGTGGTTAAAATAAGAAAAAAGAACCAAAACCCTACGTTCCAGTAACTCTAAGGCTGCTGGAATGATGCACTACCAATTTAATAAGCAGTTCTCAGCATACATTAACACACTTTAGAAGTCTCTGCTGGACTCCAACACAGGCACACACAGGAACTGCACAAATTTAGTGCTGATAGAGCTACTTGCTGAAACATGAAGAGTCTCACTCAAAGTTAAATTTCTTTTGTTTAGAATCACACACCTGTTTCCACAATTCCTGACAGCAAGATGCAGGAAAGTATCAGAGGTTTCAAAAATTTTTGACTTCTCCCAAACAATCAGTTTTGCAGAGAAAAAGACTCCTGAAATTGGGAATAATTTTTGTGCTTGTCTGAGTTTCAGAAAGAATAATTACTTTGGAAGAAAAATCACCCTCAGTACCGCATTGTACAACAGCTGGCCATTTATTACAGTTTATTATTTCCATATGGACAAAGCCAAATCATATGGTGGGCTTGGGCTCATATTTTCTGCTACAATGACAGAACCTGGATTAAGACAACCATACAATATAAATTACAAAACCATCACCCCATTCTCCTGATGGGATTATAGTGGAATTCATTAACTGGAGAATTAGCCTGGAGCAAAGAAATAAAAAAGAAAGAACCCACCAACTCAAAAACTTTACATTTGTTTCTCTTCTAACAATGAAAAGTCCACGGAATACCCCTTTTTATAGTCATTCTTACATTTTAAGGTTTCAGAGCATAAAAATAAGGTGGATTAAGGGATCTCTTCAACAGCCAAGATTAGAAGAATTCATGGGAGACCCCAGTATCCAAATATGAGCAAAACCATTGCTTCTACTAAAATTTTCATATTTCCAACAGTAGAGATGCATAATAAGTAAAGTTAGGATGCAAGTTTCATGAAACCCCTAGAAAAAGTTATTATTTAATTTCATACACTGCGTACTATTTGGCTTTGTAATTGATTAAAAGCAAATTGATTACTGCCTTGTGTCTGCATCAATACAAGCTGCTGCTGCTGGATTTACAAACCCAGGAATCCCTGAAAAACTTATCTGCCTTCTAGGAACAGAAAAAAACATTCAAAAATCAGCTGATGAATTGGGTTTTAGTGTGGATTCAAAATTATCAACACATGAACACAGCAAAGGTTAACTCCTGCTTGGCATAATTCTGTAGTGGTCTCACATATCCTGACAAAGAAATCTCTGCTTTGCTGCATGATGCGGGCCACTACAGATACAACACCAAACAAATGTGAACAAGGAGCTGAAAGGAGTTTAAAAACAACTTTTTTTTACTTCAAAGACCAGAATTCCTCTTCCTCCTCCCCTTAACCTCTGACAATGTAAAATAACAAATATTAGTAAGGACTGGTTTTTTTCCCCAATCCATAAAGCATTTCTCATACACGTTCCCTTAAGTTTAATTTTTTTAACATCCAACACCACACATGCAGGGCTAGTTAATCCACCTCATCCAATAAACAGTAAGGCTCTGAACAACATTCATAAGGACTGAATCCAGAGGGGGCCATGGAGATATACCAAGGGTTGCTGGAGCACCTCTGCTCTGGTGACAGGCTGGGAGAGCAGGAAGTGTTCAGCCTGGAGTAGAGAAGGCATTAGGGAGACCTCAGAGCCCCTTCTTGTGCCTAAAGGGGCTCCAAGAGCTGGAGAGGGACTTTGGACAAGGACCTGAAATGACAGGACAAGGGGGAATGACTTCAAACTAACAGAGGACAGGGTTAGATGGAATACTGGGAAGGAATTCTTGGCTGCGAGGGTGGCAAGGCCCTGGCACAGGTTGTCCAGAGAAGCTGGGGGTGCCCCAGCTTTGGAAGGATGGAGCCTCAAGGCCAGGCTGGATAGGGCCTGGAGCAACCTGATCTAGAGGAGGTTTCCCTGCCCATGGCAGGAGAGTGGAATTGGATGATCTTTAAGGTCTGTTTCAGTCCAAACTATTCTATGAGTTCCTGTGACTTGTAGGATTCACACAAGTACTTCTTAACATCAAAATCAATTTTTAAAAAGAGAAAAATGTAGGCAGAAGCTGCTTTGCTCAGAAGAATTAAGAGGGCAGGAAAACAAGAGCAGACAGAGGTAACCATGTGCTGTATTGATTCTCCTAAGAACCTGTTCAAATTTCAATTGTCACTATTAAAAGTCACCCATCTCCACACTAAGTTTCCACTGCAATAATTTTCAAAAGCAGCATTTTATTCAAGATTTTAAAGATCTGATTCAGGATATTACAGACCCAGCCATCCAAAAAAATGTTCCTATTCTAACTGGAGTGAAGAGGTGTCCCAGATTTGTGTTCACATAGAACACCATGTATTCTCCACAGAACTTTGAGTAAATCATTAATGATGTTCTAGTGATAAAATATTAATTCTGATTTCTACACCAATATTTAGCTCTTATGCACAGCTTTGTTTTCCCAAGTGCTACTCTCATGTTTGTTACTAACTTACTCCACAGAAACAAGGTATAGGAGACAAGATGCATCATATTTTATGAACAGTTCAAGGCAGAAGAATTTAAAGAATTATATGTACAAGAAATCTCAAAAAATAGGATAATACATTTACTTTAAGGCCAACTTCTCTACAGAAAACCAGCTAATCATAGCAGTGGGTATTTTCTATTATACCTATATATTCCAACATCACAGAAAACCATAAATGGTAAAATAAGCTGCATATAAAACAGTGGTTCTCACAGGAAAAGGTAGATTTAGTCTTTAAAAACCTGTATCAGCTTTCTAAGATAGTGTTTAAAGACTAAGTTTCCTTTAAAAACTAATGCCAACAAAACCACAGCATTAGCTGTAGGTGAGGCATGACAAACTGAAGTTAAATTGTAACAAAACAAGCATAATTATTTTACACTCTAAGATGAGAAAAAATAATATTCAGCTTCTCCAGTTTCTACCTGTATTTCCTTCTCTGCAATGGTCTGAACTTACACTGGAAGGTAAATGAGTGAACCAGCAGTGAACAGCTCCAATCTGAGCATCTCTACTCCACTGCCAACCAAACAGCTTCCAAGGATTCAATTCATCAACTGGACTGTTAGACTTCAAAATCATGACCTAAAATCATGTTAGACAACAGAAAAGCTTACTGCCTTCCTAAAGGTAACAATTCCACAGCAAAATGTTCATTCATCAAATCTACCAGTAGAGATACATCATTTGTTAACTAACTAAAATACAAATCTGAAAAAGCTCAGTTACTTTCCTATAAAGTCTAGAAGAAGTACTAGGACTACTGAAGTTTTTCAATCCAATAGGCTTTAAAAGAAACCATTTAATTATCTTCCTATTACTGGGTAATTGCAGGTTACACCCAAGATTGAAATTAGGAGATTTGCCACTCTACATGCCTGCTCTTAAGAAAAACAATGATATCCTGCATTTATGTGCAAAAAACAACTGTCCACTTCCTACCCTAATTCTTGCAGCAGTATTTCATGACTAATGGTATACAAGCACATACATTTACTTCCAGCCAGAAACCACAGAGTACCTGGGCTCAATTATCTTTTTTTGGGGGGGGAGTGCAGAACTGACTCCAATTCTAACCTCATCTGTTCATCATTGTTCACATTGTTTCCCCAGCCATATTCATCTTGTTCTAAGCCATGTGGAAGCTGTCTAACAGCCAGAATATGTTATTAAAGCTCAAAATAGCAGCCCCTTTAGTACATATTGTGCATAATATTCAAGTCCATGCCAAAATCTGCTGTATTTTGGACTTCTCTTAGTCCCCATTGCAGGCAACTGGTTCTTGATGTTGTAGCAGTACCTGTACCTACACAACAGGTGGACTCAACCCACTATTACACTATGCAAAGATCTTGCAGTATTAAGGCAGACAAATTCAATTTTGAATTATTTTCAGCTATCTGAGGAGTTTCTCTTGATAGCATCAAGAATTTCAAAAAAACATCTGCTCCACAAATGTGAAAACCTACAGAGAAAAATAGAAGCAAAACTATTGTTTCAATCAAATTTGCAGAGCTGGTCACAAGCCAAGCATTTTCACAAGGTTTTCAGAGAATGTCAAACACTGAAATATTAAGAATGTCAAACAGAAATATTAAGTTTTAGAAGTTTTAATAAAATGACATAGTTAATTGTTTTACAAGATCCTGGGTGACTT